ATTTTAAATTAGCAAAAATGTCAGAGCTCCAGTATGTTGGTCTTTTATAACTAAAGATCTGTAATTTCACAGTCAAGGCAGTTAAAAAATTATCTTGTCAATTATGACATAGTGTGATGTATCAGCAGTCAGTATAAGTTTTACTTATGCGTTGTCAGATGCTCTAGCTGAACTTCTCCAACATCTCTGCTGATGCAGTGGAAATACTGTAGAACACCAGAGGGAAAGATTTAAGGTGATGCCTTTAATTTTAGATTTGGTGCATTCAAAGATTACGGGTTAATGTTTCATGATGCTTGCTTTCTGATTTGGGTTGCAGCTGAGCTCCTCACTGTGTTACATACTGCTAAGATGATGTATGCTTTTCAGCTTATTGTCTGTGGCTATTGGTACTTAAAAACTTTGGTACAACAGTTGTTTGATTCTGTATTTGACAATGAGCTCTTACCTGCAGGCTATTTAATGACCATCCTCCAAAGAGTGAAATTACTCAGTGTACCAAATGTCTACTTTGCTATAATATGAAAAAGTTCTGAGCTGATACTCAATAAATCACAACCACGTTCATCTGTATAAAAGCTTACTTTATGAAGCACAGACTAAATATTCAGTAAATATGTTCTTTACATAGTATGAGCATCCTGTCAAAAACAGTTCAATATAAACAAAACCAACAGAAAGATCCATTGCAGACATCAAAGTGCCGAAGTTGTCATTTTTTTAAATAAAACAGAACAATCAAGAAATGTTTTTGTCACAATCCTATATTACGGCACAGGCCTAACCTAGAACATTGGGAAACAATGGTTAGCACAACAGGCAAAGTGACTATTAGGGGAAGTCTCCCTGTAAGAAAGCAGTTTTATTCTATCAATACAGCTTTATAAAACGGTACTTCCTCTCTCAAAACTCAGCTCTGCTTCAGCATTTTGGTCTGTACAAGGATCCAGTTCAAGGATTCCAGCTGTGATTCTAAGGTTTCCAGCCAAGTCTCAAAGGGATCTCAGACCCCACCGGTCACTAATAATATGATATACGAAGCAGCAGAAGCACGGCGTCCAGATACTGTGTGATTATTCTCACTGTGGATCCACACCTCTGGTAATTGCTTCTGTGCCACGCTGAGGCTGAGCGAGGGGGGGACTAAGCTCAATGGTCTACAGTTGTGTCATAAACAAACTACTCAGAAAGCGGAATGTTGTGTGCATTGTGTTGTATGTGTGTGTGTGTGTGTGTATGTTGGGGGGGGGAAAGATCAATTAAGGTGCTCACAAACAGCAGTAGCCATCCCTCCCACCCCATCCCCACCTCCTCAGAACATTTAACAAGTCCTCCTTCCATGTGTTCCTCTGCTCTGAAAAATGTGCTCGATGTCTGTTTTGCCCATTCTTGGCTGCCAGATGCGGCCTTACTAAGAAGGCCGAACCAGTCTCTTCTTAGAAAACAAGTCTCTCCTCCTCCTCTTTGTCACCCATGTGGAGCTGTTTTGCTACTCTTCCTCTCTGCTTTCCAGAATGCTGACAGGTTTCTTGACTTTAGTATGCTAAGCCCAAGCAGTCCTGCTGCTACACTCTCCAATCAGCCAGTCTCTGTCTAAGACAGACCAGGGCCTGTTTTCTCAAAAACATCTTCATCTAGTGGGAATGATGGCAGCAGAAGGAAAACACCAGTACAGGGAAATGTCCAATACAAGTCCAAACAAGCTATAATAGGTCCAAGTCACGTGTTGTAAATGAAGAGCAGTCGTCGTTTTTCTGTTTAAAGCAACAGTAGGTAGTTTTTTTAAACAGCTTGAAATAATTCTGATGGTGCACAAACTTATAATGTGAATGACTGTTATGGAGGCCTGGAACTTCTAATATGATGTTCTTCTGTGATTACGTGCAGTGAATGTACAAATGTGCAAACAACTGCACGTCTGCACAGCTGTGTGCATGGGGAGGCTCATGACGGCTGCCTTTGTGCTGAAGACGCTTTTGAGAGATCCAGGCCTGGATTTGACGGCAGTCTCATTCAGCAGAATAAGACCAGTGGACGGTTTCTGACCGAACATGCTAAATAAATTCTTCATTCAGACATGACCCTGCTATATTTACTTCTTCCTGTCGCCTACAGCTAAAAAATCTCATCTACTGTAAAAAGCAAGCGCACACACACACACAATATCACCCACTCAAACTGTATACCTCTCACCCACACGTTCCTGTTCTGCCCTTCACATCAATCTTTAGAAACCTCACACCCAGCCTTATGTTGTTATGTATCAGCTGCGACAAGAACAGACGTGTGTAAGGTAAATGACACAGTGCTTTCATTCATTCACGTAATTTTTAGGTTTTTCAGAGCAGAATTATTGGATACGTTTCAGTATTGGGGGCAGCGGTAGCCAAAAATTACGTAAGCGGACTTGTGTTCTCTCTGTGTGACACGTTTGAAATCCCTCAACAGCTAGTGCCGAGGTGCCCTTGGGTAAGGCACTCAACCTCCAGTTTCTCTGGTGGAGAAGCTCAGTTAAAACCATGGATTTATGTGGTAGCTCCTAAATGTATAGGGATTTACTGTATGTAACTGTATGACTGTGGCAATGGAATGGCCACTCTGTGTGAACTCTCCCTGGGCAGAATAAAGGATAATTAAATAAATAAATAAATATGCTATACATGGCAGAGACTCGATCCTTCTGAGAAGTTCTCTTAAGAGTTTTTTCGTAACTCCAGGAACAGATATGTTGTGTCTTCACACACTTCTAGGTCCATACATACGCCTGTGAGTGGCTGGGTGTTTTTACATAGGTGGGAAAAAGGCCAAAATGCTACAGTAGTACCATGTCCACCTTGTCCATGTCAGTCTCTGTCTGATAAAGGACAGGACAGAAAGCCGTCTTTCTCTTTGTTACCTTTCTGGCCTTTAACTAATACATAATAAAATACTCAAACTTCTGCTCATAACGAACAAGTGTCAACGAAAGACAGCTGCATCGCTTAGAGTTTTTAAAAATAATACTGATGAAGGTTGCGAGATCACAGTTATGATCGATTAAATGTGCAATAATAAAAGTTCAAAGAACTGAGGTTTGACAGGGTCACTCATTGGGTAGCGGGGGTTGGGTTCTTCATCCTCTTCATCTATTGCTCAAAGACAGAAACATATCACCGGGGTTGATAAATTCTGGGAGGGGCAGTGACAGATGTTTCTCCTGCTCCTGCCCACTCTCTCTTACTGTAAGTACAACGGGAGGAACACTAACAAAGAACCCAGTAAGGAGTTATTAAACTACTGTAGTTTGGCTTAGACGGACGTTGCGTTTGTGGACCGTGGCGTCTCATGCTCCTCCCTCCCCTCAGCTCCTCTGTCCTGGGGTAGTGCATTCAGCGGCTCTCCCGTTCAGTCCGCTGTGAGCCTGGCTGATGGACGGGGAGGACTGTGTCTTGCGGAGGAGGCACTCGCGGCCAGCCAGGCCGCCCTCCATGAACATGCCACCCATCACGCTCGCCTCTATCTTCTCCAGGTCGTCCGTCTCAGCACGAATTTTGGCCTGCAAGAGGCTGATGTACGTCTCATAGCGAGTCTTCTGCTCAGAGAGAGAGAAGATGGAGGACAGAGAAATGTGTGTTCAAACGTCACAACAAGGACCTGGTCTGAAACAGTCTAGATACACTTTCTTTGCAACTTGTTTAATGTATGCCAGATCAAAAATCATTTGGGGTTTTGCTCAATATTTTTGTATATGAGACACAAATATGAAGACGCTTTAAACATTTAAATTGTTATAACAGTGGTAGATTTTTTTTACTAAAGTATACACTTTAAAAAACAGAATACACATTATATGGATATAATAGAACATAGAGTCTCTTGGCTGCTTTCTGGATAGAAAATAAAAACACAAAAATGAAAAGAGCCTGTACCTCGTATGTTAGGTAGTGCTCTTTGAGCCGGTGCTCCTCCCACTCCCGGCTTTTGGGGTCAACTGAGGGAGTGTTTTTTCGGTGCTCCTCCAGCTCCAGGCTCATCTGCTTCAGCTTGTTCTCGTGACTCAGCAGCTGCTCCTCCTGCACCAATCAAACAGACACACAGACACACAAATGAACCCCCAAAACAGCCTATCAGATGTATGCAGACACAAATAGAACATGTAAAATTGTCCAACCCTGTGCAGAGGTTTTTTTTAAAAAGTATTGTGCACGCTGCAGGGAGTTACCAGGGAAATATACAAAGAAAAATATATATAATGTATAAAATATACCACCTGCGCCTAGATACTGATTGTAGTATTGGCAACAATATATTTTATATCTAGAGAGCAGTGACGTATAAACCTTACTGCTCCTGTTCCATTGTGTGTGTGTGTGTGTGTGTGTGTGTGTGTGTATGTGTGTGTACCTGGTTGAGTCTGGTGGATGAAGATGGCAGGATGGGCCGACAGAATTTCTTCATGGAGCCAATGGCAGCAGGGAAGGCTGGGGCTGAGAACAGCGCTGCCACCAGGTTTATCCGGAAGATCCAGGACATCATCTCCTCCTCACTCCTGGAGTGAGAAAGGGGGGAGAGAGAGAGAGGAGCATGAGGGGGTGATAAATGGTGGGATCAGAGGATGAAACTCACTCTGCTTTCTCTCACATCACACAGATGTTTTCTCACATCTGGAGGATTCAAATAAGTGAAGACAACTACAGCAAAATAGATAAGTGTTCCAATTAACAGTGAGTAGTTTAATCATTAAATCATATTATCAGCTCTAAATCATCTCTCTCAACCACCATGTTGACATTAGGGGGGTTTCCATTTTATTTTAAAGACCTTTTCAATCTGAGCATAAAAATATGAAATATGAAAATGTCTTATTGTGTGCCTCGATCCAAAATCTAAACCTTATCATTGAAAAAAATTTACACTTTATGGGTTTCATTCATAAATTGGAACTTGCAAGTTAGTTTCGATATGGTCTATGTACAAAGCAAAAACATTTTTCAACACCAGAAAAATAAATGGATCCAGTTTACACAAGATAAATTCCACTAAAAGGGCATTTTAACTCGTACTTTACGTTTTATTTCCTGGTCTTTTCAGTTGAAATAGTTTGTTATGTGATGGATTGAACTACTCACGGGGCCTGCAGCAGATACACTCTCCAGTCTGACGTTTTTAGCTTCAGTACGTTGGCCCTCTTGCTGTAGTCAGTGGCACGAGTGGCTAAAGAGTGATGGATTCGCACTGCGTTCTTCAGGTCCACCTCTGAAATGTCAGCATCTGGTTTGTACTCATCCTAACAAGACAAGAGAAATTGTGGGTCAAAGGTGTTACATCATGACTGGCACATGACAAAATATGCAGGCACGAGACCCTAAGAAGAGCAGCTTTTACTTGGTGTGTATCTGAAGACTGTACATTACGGCAAACACTCCTTTAAACACACATCCAAGGTAAAACGTAATGTTACACTGCTTATAACAGAAATAAATATTGGTTGAATGTTTCTCAAGCTGATGTGGACAGTGAAGACTTCCTACCAGCAGGGGGAGACAAACACACACTATAGCAGCCATGCCTCATTCCCCTCTTAACGCTCTCCTTAACTCTCTCTCTCGCGCGCGAACACACGCACACACACTCGCGCGCGCGCACACACACACACACACACCAGAGCAGCGAGAGGCCTCCACCACTGCAGTGACAGCAGTGGAGGATGTGTGTTTCTATGGTAACGAAGCAGAGGACGTACCTTCTGGAGATATAAGATCATCCCTTTCAGGACCGCATAGAACTTCTTCCAACCACGGCGACCCCTCGGGGCTGGGGGAAAGGACAATAAAAAATAATAATACTTTTGTAGTACCTTTAGTGAGTATTTGGTAACAAAAGTCGACCTTGTGTGTGTGTGTTAGTGTGTGTGTGTGTGTGTGTTTTCCAGATAAACTCACTGCGTTTGCCATCCATGTCAGCATGGCTCTTGCGGTTTAGCACTCCATGTTTGTAGGTGACAGCGTTCAAGAGAATAGGGATTGCGATGAAAGGGTTATTGCCGTCCGTTACCCTGGTAACACGTTTACTCCCGCCCTCGCATTGCTCCTCCACCAGCTCTGACAGGCTCTTCCTCAGCTCTTCCTCCTCGCTGCAGACACACAAAGACTCATTCAGATAACCTAAGTAGCACATATTCAAAGGTGCTTACTCCTGAAAACTTGCAAAGGCCAAAGACTTTGCCTGTCGATAAACAAAATGCTATACTCACACTGCCCACTCAAGCTTCTCATTCTTGATGGAGTTATATAAAACCTGTGTAGAAGAAGCAATAATTAATGGTTAATTTGAATATGTAAAGACAAACAAAGGGTGAGGGTGACCGATTTGTTCTCTCAGGAAGAGATCTGTACCTTTAATAAGTCTTTGGGAAAGTCTTTGCCGTTGTTGAGGCCGTCTAGGTTACTGATAAACTGTTGGCAGGACATCTTCTTCCCAATGTTCTGAGGCAAGGAGAAACCAACAGAAACAAACCAACAAAACAATGACTATTAATAATTTTCTATATTTATATAGCACTTTTCTAATCTTGATGACCACTCTAAGCACATTACAGTACAGTTTTGCCATTCACCCATTAACACAGCACTTTCTCTATCATACAACACGCTGCAGGCAGAGCGCCTGGGCAATTTGGGGGTCAGTATCTTGTCCAGGGACACTTTGGCATGTGGAATGGGGAGACTGGGATTGAACTGCCAAACTTCTGGTTAGTGGACGCTCAGGACACTTTAACGTAAAGATTAAATTTCACCTTGCCAAAATGTTTTGCCTTCATTTTTTTGAGTGTATATGCAGCAAAATGTTTACATTTTTTACTTGGCTCAATATTCACAGACGTTTAAAAATTCTATCACCTGAGGATTTCAGCCCCTTATATCTACACTGACCTGGATGCAGTTTTGCAACCATCCACTGAATGGCGCTGATATGCTGCTGGAGGTCTACTGGCAGTGGTGGTGGGTTAGGTTGTACCTCAGTTTGAGCTTTGTTAGTGTCACACCTTTCTTTGTGTTTGAGCCTCTAATTATGATGCATCATTAGTGGGAATGTAGAACTGCGTCTTACTGCATGAATCAGCTCTTTAACCTAAACAAACAACAGATGTGGAACTGAAACTGATTTGATTCACCCCTGATAGAAAAAAAATGATTTTGGTTGTGGCCTTATTATTCACATTTTCCTCTGATGAGGCCACGTCACAGCTCTTTTCTATGAAAATTACAAAACACTCAAAACATTTCAGTTTATAACCACAAATATGTAAAGTGCTGTATTTCACAGCTTTATTTTATCTGGATGAACTGCTCTGTTAAATTAATTCATATTTTTATGTAACGGCTGCAGGACAGTGTACTCTTAATATATACCAATGGCTCCTGTTATAAAATGAGGGTTTCTATAACCCATTGGGGATTCTTGACTACTGCATTAGAGTCGGTACTATTCCCAAAAAGTAGCCGACTAATCGATTAATCGTATTATATAAATATTTTTCTGGAACTTTGCAGTGTGTGAGGAGGGATAAGACATTTGCTGGTCGGTGAAAGCATGTTTAGAGAATTCTCCAATTGTCTACTCTGTTGCGCTTCTCCTTTTGCAGCTAATGGTTTTATCTTATATTTCCATGCTGTTGATTTAAGTCGAGCATCTGAATCTGGTCGTACCACCATGTTTCTTTATGGCTCCTGCTCTATCAAAACGTCTGCTGCTGTAGCACACACACTTCAGTGATAAGGTCATGCATGACAACTATGACTTGTCAACTGCTTGCGCCCCCTGCAGCAGATTTGTCGTAGGCTGCTTTATTCCTGCACTGTGCTAAACCCACAGATGAACTAGTCCACAATGAAGCATTGCATTGACTAGTGGTTTAAAATAAAATGAATATTTAATTATTATAATAATAATAATTATTAATAATAATTTATAATTTAGGTACCAATACTGCAATTTATTTCGGCAAAATCAGCAACTGAACATTAAAAATATTTATGCACCTAAAAGTTATTTTTTGTCTCTAAACAACAATGATTAAAAATTAATATAAGTGTATAAGTGTTCATTTAAAGGTATGACTTAAATGCTGTTGTTGCTGACAGGAGGAGAAACCGATGTTATAGGACTATAGGTATACTTACCACCTGCAGGGGCAGACAGAGACCAGGGACCAGATTTGGTTAGCAGGGGAAAGGGTTTGAAAAGGAGGAAAGGGAAATTGAAAAGAGAGACAGGATATTAGTTAGAGGAGGGACATTCTCTAGAAGTACTACTGAGCGGGAGGGTCGAGGAAAAGCCAAAGAGCAGGACCAATGATACTGTGGAGTGTTGTGTTGCCCAGACCACAGTGCTCCAGTTTAAAACTGAACAGATGAGACTATTTGAGGAGAGAAGAGACAGAAACAGGTCAGAAAGTAGGCCGCAGAAGGGAGAGGGATAGAGAGTGACAGAGCGAAAGGGAGAGAACCGAGAATAAGTGGAATGAAAGAAAAGAAGTTGTGAATGGAGTAATGCCAACTCTGACATAGAAATGTCTTAATGTATTGTTTTATGTGCAGATTAGAAAACAAGGAGATCTCCTGGATTAAAAAGATAAAGAAGTTCAGTACGTACATGTCCATGTAGGTCAGTGTTAAGCAGCATCAGAGCACAGGTTAATGTGTGGGCTCCATCTGCAGAGGGAAATGGTTGAGGTCAGTTAAATTTCATACTGCACACGCATGTACACGTACACAGACACACACGCAAACTCGGAAATGCAATGCCACACATTCCTTCATGATAAAGGCAGAGACAAATCACCTCTGCAGAGCTGCATTGAACATCAGTGTTTTCCTTTAAAAACATTCACTTGTTTCAGACACACATGCTTTATTCAATATTATCTGTAATGAGGCTTTTCAGTCTTCAATATTTATAATTATCATTATTATTAACTATCTAAGGCCTCTGGGATCAAATATCAAAGCTAAGGAAATGTAAACACACATGACAACAGTTTATAATAATTCTAATGTATGAATAGAAGTGGAAACACTGAACATGAGGTTCATGAGATCATGTCATCACTAAAATCTTCCATGCTAAGATGCATTTTCATCTTTTAAGGTTTATGCATCATCATCATCCCCCTCACTGCTCTGACCTTCTGAGGAGGATGTCTGTGGGTTGCAGTGGCAGAAGCGTCTGGAGAAGTGGACCAGGACCCTCTCTCTCTCTTGGGTCTCTCCCATCAGTGGAAAGGCCTTTAAGAAGTTTCTGTCACATAAACAACAACACAAGGTCAAATATTTTCCAGTAATGCATCTCATACATGACTTTATCAATGTAAATTACATCTGTGGAGAATTGATGAAATATTGTAATCAGAGAAAAATAGTTGATCAATTATCTTTTTGTCTCTGTGTGTAACGTTTGCTGTTGAAATCCCATTGCACTTTTGTTAGATATCACTATTTATCTTCTGTTACCCATGTCTTACCGTGCAAAAATATATTTTGGGCATTTGAATGTTTGGTTGGATAAGAAGACATGTGAACAGATCCCCTTGGACTAGTTTTTTATTTTGTATTTACTAGACTGAACAACTAATGGATTCATCAATAGCACATCCTTAAGGATGGAAACACTCCCTCTTGCAGTTTTGAAATTGATCGTAAGAAATTCTCAGAGAACTAAAGTTGTAAACTGTGCAAGAAAAACTTGGTGCATTATTAAAAAGGTATTAAAGTAGGCTTGTCACATGAACCTATAATTAACTAAAACCATGCGCGTGCACCCTCTGAAAGAGCAATGAACTTAATTCTAAAGAATATTTAGTCTGACATTTGAATGAGAATTAAAAATATTAAAATATCCTGAATAAATGAAAAAAGAAAAACACACATAAACAAAACAATAAATACAATTACTCTCCCGCTCTATGTTACCATCCCAGGCACATATATGTTTGGCACAACGTTGCAACCATGGAACATTTGCTGTTGCACAAGTACTCAGTCATCCTATCTGCAAATTACACACACATAGCTGACCCCGTCATGATGTATACCCCCCACCCACACTTTTCTAATCTGTCATTTCTTCAGAAACCTCACACCTAAACATACATTGTTATATGTCTGCTCTTCCAGAAGAGCAGTGTGTGGGATAAACGGCACAATGGCGTACACAGTACACACACACAAGGTGAAAGCAATACCAACCACATTGTCACGTCTAGTAATAAACAAACAATACTGGATAATCAAACAACACAGAAATAAATGCAGGACCTTGAGTATGTTTCGTGTAACTTTTTGAAGTTTGCAGTCTGATGTGTACACATGGTGACACCCTGGCACTGAGGGCAGCAGTTTGAAACAGCAAAATGTCAGGTACAAGGCAGTGATTCACTCCGCAGCTGTCAGCCGGCTAACTCTTCTTGACACAGCAGCATGATTAGCACACAGCTATATTATACTCATAGGCTACCATGTGCTGACTGTGCTTTACCCTTTTTTATATAAAGTCTATGGCTTTTACCTCAGGGCTCGATCCAGTGACAGGCCAGAGAGGTCAAAGAAACTCAGGTACTCTGAAGCCACCAATTGGCTGAACTCATTACTGCAAAGAGAGAGAGAGAGAGAATCAGCACATCCACGTGGCAGTGAGAAGTATGAAAGTATTACATAAATGTTTTTTGACATGTTGTCATGTTTAAGCATATTCTGATCATGTGTTTGTATCATTTTACCTGGGATCAATACATTCCTTTGTCTGAGTCTCTGTGTCCCATATAAATTGAACAGTTATGTCAAAATTTAAACATGTTCTCCGGTTTCTGGTGAATTCTCAGTCTATTAGCAGACGGTGTGCGCATGTGTTTCTGTGTGTGTGTGCATGCTCACTTCTTGCCCAGGTGTCTGGCCACGTCGCAGCGTTTAAAGCCCTCGAGGTGATAGAGGCGCTTGGCAAGCCTCTTGGCGGCCTCATAGTCGACTCGGCAGCCATTGGCCAGTGTGTCGGTGCTGCCGCGCTCCAAACGCTCCAGACTGCCCAAATCACACTCCTCTGAGTCAGACAGGACGTCTGTGAGGCTGGCATCACTGGGGGAGGAGACATCCAGACAAACAGACATACACACAAACAAGCAAGGTGCCCAGGTTAATGAATAGAGCACATGGAGTTAGAAGAGGAAACTGAACTGCTGAGAGTGGAACTCAATTATATAAACATATGTTCACATACACACAAACAAAAGTAGAATGAGCTTTAAATGACTTATTTTGACACTGACCCACTTTCACTGTCACTTAGTGTCCTGCTTTAATGCAGAGGATCTGATTATAATGCTGACGCAGATTTCACCTGCTGCAATCTCTTCTTAAAGGCCCCACTAATCTCACACTGTTAACCTCCAACATGATCTGAATTTAAGTACTGTGATATAAAAACTAATCGCTCCTTTCTTCTCTTCCATCCCCCTATTTCAGGCAAATGTCACTAAGAAGTAAAAGTGTGAGCTTTTCATTTTTAAAAGTCCCCTGAAGTGGTGGTGAACAAATAATGCTCTCTCTCTCTCTCTTTGGCTTCAACTACTCCTATATATCGCCCCCCGAGCAAATCACCCAACCTTTTACAGAAGATAATTGTTTTCTTTCATGCTCACTGAGTACAACTGGATTGCAATGGGTGTATCTGTGTGAGTAAGCAGCAGGGCGTTTCTTTGAAAGACTCAATGTATTCTATCATCCCAGCAGGATTAGTTAAGGTTAAAGAAAAGAGAAATTCAGGACATGAGAGTGAGCATCCAGCTACCACTGCCAAGTCATGACTTGCAAAGTCTGCATGATGCTCTGCAACTGTAGTGCACACACACGTCTCAAAGTAAAACTGAAAGTTGTTCAGATACGCTGAATTATAAACAAGTAGTGATGATTATGTAAACAGCCTCTGTCCAGATTCTTTCTTTTCTAGATTTCCAACAGCTGCCAATGTTATTTTAAAGCACTTTCTAACATTAATAGAAAATAATTTTTTGATTCCACTTGCTTTCTTACATGAATGGAAACTAAAATGTCTCTCAGTAGAGTTCATTACTCCACCAAGGCCCAACAGTCCCCTTAGAAACCACATTTAAATTAACTGGATCCACATTGTTATTTCGATCTGCACCAAATTACACAAACTAATGAGCAGGGTTATTTTCTCAAAACACACAAATCAGAGCCACAAGAAATTGCACATGCTCAGAGACATCAGTCCCCTTAAGTGTGTCCGGATTTTATTCATCAATTGGAAAAATGCCCTACCTCACAATCATAAAGAAACCAATACCACATCCTTCCACCAGGTTTCATGGTGATTGGTCCAGTGGTTTTAGCAAATACAAATGGACAGGGGTGAAAACCTCCTTGGCGGAGTTAATGGGTCCATCCCTGCAGTGTGGCACTGAAGGACACAGTCTGATAAACCGTCTGATCAGAACAAGACCCCACACCATCCCTTAACTGTTTAAGTGTCATCAACAGAACGGAGACGATCGATGCAGAGTATTAATTAGTTCCCTAATTATTTATTTATGACTTAGTAAGGAGGTTGGATGAAGATGTGTGAGCTCCGTCCATCGGTAGGAAGTTAATTAGCATTTTTTATTTGACTTTAAATCCTCATGCAATGTTTTTTAGTCTTAACTGGTTATATATTGTATTTATGATTAAAATTAATTTTTTGAATGCACATTCATGCCAATCAGCTTCTAAAGAAATAGAACGTAAATAAAATAAAATTACTTTTTTATTCACATACAACTCAGCAAATAGGGAAAAAAAGCCACAAACTGTTTCTGTTTTATTTCTGTAGAAAGCACGTACTCAATAACTTCCATGAGTCTAAAGGCCATTTCCTCATTTGTCTTATCTGTGTGTGCATCTGTGTGCATCCGTCAGTGATCTCACCAGATGATTCAGATGTTTTTTTGCATAATCTGATCAGCCCAATTACATTACCCTGCAAATTCAATACATTACACACTGCTGTTGTAAGGGTTTGCCGGTTACCATGGATACAGCGGAAGTGCCCTGTGCTACAATTACAAAGAATGACAGTCGAGTAATCCAAGGATGTTTTTCACAGACTGGTGTGAAAAACAAAAAGCTGCAAATAAACAAAATACAAAAAACAGCCAGTTTTCATGGTCAGGAGTCAGGCCCCTGCCTTCACATGCTGAATGGCTGACCATGCACAACGTTCTTACAGCTGACCTCTTCAAAGGGCCCTGCTCTAGGCAAGGTTACACTTCCCTGTCTTGGCTGATTCATTAGTGTCTCAGAATTAATCTTCATCTGGAGCCTGACCATGGAGCAGTTTGCCCTGGGAGACCCCAGGGCTACTGCCACCATCAACACAGGTCCCAGGGTCAGATGAACACATGAACCCCTCAACTGTGATGAGGTGGGTCGTGCAAACTCTTGCTGCCAAGAATGACAACAAGACTGAAGTTAAGAGTCAAGGGAAAGCTGGTTGATTTGCAACTAGCCAGGGCTCATCCTTAGGGACAGGGTGGGGGGCTTGTACTGTATATCCGGAGTAAACTCACTGCGTTTTGGTTGGGAGAAGGATCAAACTGAGGTGGTCTGGGGATCTGATTAAATGCTTCCTGTACAGTTCCCACCAGAGATATTCTAGACACGTCCCATGAAGAGGAGAACACTGGGCAGTCCCAAAACATGCTCAATGGTGCATATCACACATAATGTGGGTAAAAGTCGCAAGATCCCCCTGGAGACCCAGACAAGTGGTTGAAAATGGAAAAATTGATGGACAGGAATATAGCCTGTGCATGTTACACAAATGCCCGCCACATACATGCATAAATAAAATGAGTCAGTGGTGAACCATCAAAACAATATCTGGCTGTGTCTGCAGTGAAATTGCCTTCACTTGTCTGACTGTATTAATTCACTAGACTCGGAAAGGCCTCATAAATCATTCAAATCTCATATCAGTCACGAGGCTAAAACGATGCTGGGCTCCCCCGATGCTCCCCCACCCGTCTGGCAGTAACAGAACAAACATAGACACACTGAGAAACACAAAATAATAGTGAGATAGACACAATATGACATGTCAGTTATCTAGAGTGGGCTTTTTCTGCCAAGATACTTGGTGTTACTGCCGGCCAAGTGGCACACAGAAAAACTACTGGTCCATCCAAAGGCACAATTGTGTATCCCCAGGCCACACACTGCCACCACCACCACTGAGACCACAGTCTGTGTGCGCCAGTGTGTCAGAGATTGGCGGCATGATGGTGCATGCCAGTGAGTCACATGCTAATCTTTTATATCTGTTCTCCGGACACACCTACAAAGGTGTGTCTTGCATGCAAGGTGTGTGTGTGAGTGTGTGAGTGTGTGTGTGTGTGTGTGTGTGTAAGTGTGTGTGTGTAAGTGTGTGTGTGTGTGTGTGTGTGTGTGTGTGTGAAGCAGAGGGTCTCAGTGGCAGGGGCTGTGTGAGTAATCAACAATTATGGGATTACCTGGATTACGAAATTCTGTTAGCTCACAGATGTTTCTCTTATTTTGGTAAACACTGATCAGCAGTTGACAGAGGTAGAGTGTAGACAAACTTTAGAAACACAAACATTCAGTGGAGGAACTTCATGTTTGTCTGTTTTGTCATGTTTTCTGCTGTGGCTTGTAAATACAATCACCACAAAACACTGTTGCAACACTGGACTGTTGTGTGTAAAATAAGACAAATACAGCGACAAAATCTGACTCTGATTTATACATTCAACTAGTGTTCTGATGATTGCACCAACTATGTCCGTTAACTGATGGTCAACCAATCACGTTACCAGCACATTTAGGTTTTTGCATCTTTTTGGGGACTTTTTTGTTTGAGAGCTGTTGACAGTGATGATACATTAGGCAAGGCCAAACTGTACTTTATACACATACTGTGTTAAAACTGCTAGTTGCAATTTAGAAATAATGAATAAGGTTACTGAAAAATGTATTGTTTGTGAGTAATGAGGCTACAAATCCATACTTTGAATATATCGTTAAAAATGTGGGTTATTATAAGACCACTGGTTGCAAATTCTCTT